TTAAAATTAGAATATCTTTATACAAACTATCTGAATAAATTAATATAGAAATTTAAGAAGTTATAGACAGAGTCAGTAATAATCTTCTTAAGAGTCTTAAAGCTGACATCTAAATCTGTTACTTATTTAATATAAATATATACTTATAAGAAAAGACTATATTACAGTACTACTACTCTATAAGTATAAGTATAAGAAGTATTAATAAACTCAGAATTTCAGATCACTATAATATCTTTAAAGCTTTGTGAAGTGAATAAACTGAGTGATGAAACTGAGAATCTACTCTTATAATAAGCAGAGTGTAAGAACTCAGATCTGAGAACCAAGAGCCTAAAAGAGTCATCTTTGAATTACAAGACCCCTCTGCAACTTGAAGAAGATCTGTAAAAACTGTGATTATCACAGATATTATAGATAATATATACTTAAAACTTATATAACTTCAAAGACATAATCTGTATATAACTGTCTATAAGTTAAGTTTAAACTTTCAATCAGTGTTGACAGACTTACTTATAGAGATAGAATCAGTTAATACTATAAAGTTAATTAAAGAAGATAAGCTTATCTATATAATAACTTTATAAATATCTGAGAACTTTATAATTATGAAAACTGAGCTTCAGATATCAGAGAAATACTGAGATCTTATAAAGATATTCAGTTCAGCTAAGATAACTGAGCTTTCATCTTACTATAAGAAGAATCTGATAATAGATTTAATAGAGAAGTAGAAACTCTTTTAAGAATTAATTTATAAGCTCTTTTATCATAAAATAGAGATCTTATAGACTTATATAAAGAAGAATCTGAAGAAAAACTTTATCTAATCTTCACAGATCTCTGTGAGAGTCTCTGTAATATTTATAAAGAAGAAGAATAAAGATTTCAGACTGTGTACAAACTATTATAATCTGAACTTTAAGATTATAAAGAGTTACTACTTTCTATCTCTGATTAAGAATATGATTAACTATTTTATAGAAGCTGTTATATTTATATAACTGAATATAATTAATATATATACACAGCTGTGAATACAGTCTGAGAATGAATAAAAGACTATCTTTAAAATCATACTGAAATTATTTAAATATTTAGTGATATCTTTTGATTTGACTAATACTTCTGTAGTATTTCAGTCTTTTATCAATAAAATACTTCATATATATCTAAATATCTTTGTAATAATATATCTGAATAATGTGATGATATACTTTATAAAGAAGAAAGAACATACTGAGTATATATAAACTGTATTAGAAAAATCTTAAATAAGATAGAACTGTATATTAAGCTTATAAAGTATAACTTCAGTACTCACTGAATTAATTTTCTAGAATATATAATTACTGTGAATAATATTCAGATAGAATCTTTATAAGTGAAAACTATTCTATTATAATTAAAGTTAACTAGTATTTATAAGATTCAAATCTGTCTAAGCTTTATGAATTTCTATAGATAATTTATCTTTGTATTCATGAGAATCTTCTTAACTCTTACAGACATGTTGAAGAATAAAAATAAGAAGATGTTATTCTATAAATAAAGAATAGAAAGATTATTAAGAAGAAAGAGCTGTAAGAACTTTTTTATCTTAAAAGCTTACAGAGTTTTTATAAGATTAAAATAGATATTTCTAAATATAATAATACTGTTTTACTTTAATTTCTTACTCTTAATTAGATGAAAGATAGATATCTTCTTCTTTATAATTTCAGAAATAGTTTTATAACTACAGTTAAATAAGAACTGAGTTTCAGTGATTTTTTTCTTATAGAAGATATAACTCACAGAGATTAACTATAATATTTATAATTAGAAGCTTCTTATAATAGTAAAATTCTTTTATTACTGATATTACTACTTTAAGAACCTTGTAATAGTAATTACTATTAGAACTGATTATAAGAGCTTATAATAGTTTACTTTAATCAAGAAACTCTCACAGTGATAGATTTACTAAGTTCAGAGACTGAGTGAATTCTGAGTTAAGATAGAGTATATTAAGAGAATTAAGAACTTAGTAAACAGATTCTCTTATAGATCTGAGCTCTGGTGGTTAAATGATTAATGTAGCCACCTGGTAGCGCCTTGGGGTGGGAAACCAAGACACGTGGGTTCGAAACCCGCAGAGAATACATTAAATTCAGAACTCAAGCACCTCAGGTTTCTAATAAATACAGCAGTGTATAAATTGCTTCAATGAATTGCTCTATGTTTCTGAGCTGAGAAGTTATTATTACATGTATCTAATTATCACTTCTTTGTATTTTTCTATGTTCTTGTTATCTTGGCATGGTCTCAACACCTGTATTTCCTCCTGTATAATTAACACTTGACCTGTATTTAATATCATGCAAGGACTCATCATAAGCTCCGCTTGCATATGAGTATAATGAAAGAATAATAATAATAATAATCTTATAGATCTGACTATATTAAGAAGATCAGAGTAATAGATATAGAGAGACTAGAGAAGATAGAAAAGCTTTTATAGAAATACTTTAAAACTAAGTGTTATAAAAGAAAGTAACTGAAGAGTCTTTTAATCTTTCTATTAGAGAAGAGAGAGAAAGAAAGAGAAGAAGTTTGTATAACTACCTATCTTATAATTAGACTGATTGTGTGACCGTGTTCTGAGACCAGAATCAAACTTTACAGTTTATTATGTTGCCTAAAAGCATTACTTCTGATCATGATTTGTGTTCATCACATTGATTTCAAATCATGTTATTTCAAATATTAAAGATCTCAGATTCACTTTTCAAATAAAAATCTAGTCTCAGATAAAGAATATGTTTGAATTCTTAGTTACATTTTCATTCTGATCTCATTATTGAGAATGATACTAAATAAGATTATGAAATCACTTCTCACTTACATAATATCATAACATAGTACTCATTTGTTGAAAATTCAATAGAGAGTGTTATCAAATATCATTACTTTTCTGAATACAGATTATAATTCATATAATTTTAATTATGAAAAAAATATAAAATACAAAAAAAAAAACAAAAAACAAAAAATAAAACAAAAACAAGAAAAAATCAGAATGAAAAAAAAAAAAAGAGAAAGAAAAAAAAAAAACAAAAATAAAAAAAATCAAGATTACAGAGTCACAGTATCTCTAAAATACTCACTTCTCAGAGTCTTTGCAATATTCATTATCAATCATGTATTTCTCACAGTGAGAATAACACAGCTGTGATGAGTTATTATCTTAACATTATCTAATAAATAATCAGTATATATCTGTATAAATGTGAATATTTAGAAAATATACACTTAAAAAGTGTGATCAGAATGAACTCTGCTGTCACTTGCATGACATTAAGAGCAGAATGCTGAAATTGATGATTCTCTTCATTGATTTCACAGACAAGGCATGTGAAGATAATCTTAAGAAATATAAGATTCTCTGACTTCTGATAAAAATGAATGTTATGAAGAGACTCTATTTTCATAATATCAGAGACTGAGTATTATTAAAAAGTGTTACTTTCATGCAATACACATGCACTTACTGCAATGATTCACTCTCTATGTATGTGACTGAGAGTTATAGCTTTCTCATACTGCACAGCTCTCTCTGAGATGCTGGTGCCAGTTTATAACTCACACAGTCTCTCAGTTCAGCATGCACTGCATGTATACAGCTCTGCATGCTGGAGCTATATTGACTATTATGACCTGATATGATACTCATTTTTCACAGGTCATGTTTTGTTTGAGAAAAGAGAGAGAAGATGCAACTGTGATTTTATTGAAGAGAAATGAATAATTAGTAATATTGAATATAATTTGATTCTTCTGTATTTAAAATTTAATTAGTCTATACTCTTCAATTTGAGAGTTTTTAAGAGTGTTTTAATAGTTTTTATACCAGCTTGAACTTAGTGATGAGTTGAAGAAGAAGAGAAAAGAGAGAAGAAAGAAATAAGAATAACTTATGTTTATAATATGAAAATAAAGAATCACTGCAATCATTCTCTCTAATAACAAAGATCTGTTTTCTGCATGCATTTCTGATATAGATTATATGATAACTGTATACAAAGAATATCAATACTGCATGTATTGAATAAAGATGATGTTGCTATGCAACACTGTAGCTGTTTTCATATATTTCTGAAAGCTGTTAATATTTTCTTTATCTCTTTATATTTGATAAGTTAGTAATATATTTCAATGCACTCTCTCTTTCATTATCATCATCATTATCATTATCATCATCATCATTATTATTATTATCATTATTACTATCATTATTATTATTATCATCATCATCATTATTATTATTATCATTATTACTATCATTATCATTATTATTATTATTATTATTATTATCATCATCATCATTATCATCATTATTATTATTATTATTATTATATTATTTCTGACTATCTCTTCTGCCTTCACTTCTCTTTAACACTCACTGAAATTCATCATGTTATTTGTCTTCAAATATTCTGTGGTTCTGCAGATCATCAAGGCGCATGAGTACTATCACAGATTGAAGAGAGAGAAGAAGAAAATGTTTAAGTAAGAAGAGACAGATCATAAGATATGTTATAATATCTTGAAGAGACTTCATAAGAGAGTAGAATGATAATGATTTTAAGTAATACTTCTGATAGATTTAGACTGAACTAAGTATAGAAATAATGTGAATGACACTACTCATAAGAGATTGAAGAAGAAGATAGTGAAGAGTCTCATACAGTAGCAGTGAGATTAGAATAAGTCTCAAGAATGATTTGAGTTCAAGATAAAGAGAGAAAGAGAGAAGAAGAGTATTACTGTAAATAAACAGTGATAGAAGAAGATTAAGAGAATATTAAAGTAGAAGATAAAGAAGTCAAAACTAATAAGTTTTTTATTTATTAAGAGATAATAATTTTTAATAATACTTCTATTCTCTAATTGATTAGCAGAAGCTGATAGAGAAGAAGAGAATTAAGGCCTTATTCAGGTCTTGAATACACTTCATGATTCAGAATATTGAGAAGACAGTTCTGCTGTCTGAGCATGTCAATCTGCTTATTACTGAGGTGAAACCTGAGGCAGCAGACCAGAAAATGCGAGATTTTGAGATACAGATTGACCTGGCTGAGAGAGAGCAGCAGAAACTCTTCTCTGAGAAGGCAGCAGAGAGAGATTTTAAGATGATTATCATCTCAGATGAGAAGAAGAAGAAGAAGAAGAAGAATGAGAAGTAAATTATAAAGAATAATAAGAAGAATGAAAAAGAGAAGAAATAGAAAAAGTTTTTTTCTTTTTATATTAGTTAGTTATAAGTTCATAATTATTAATAATTAAAATTAATTTTGAGTTTTTAAAAATTATTGTACAAGTTGTAATCAAGTCAGGAATAATATATATATATATATATATTTAACTATCATGATTCACAAATCACTATAATGTATAAGTATCAACATTTTTTCAACATTGATATTTATAATATTAATATATTTTTAATAATATCATCTGATAATATAATTTGATAACACTCTCTTTCACAATACTAATATATTTCAAGAAATATAACAGAGATTAATCAAGATTATTTATTTACTTTTATACATTAATGATATTCAAGCTGAGTTAGTACTAAAATTATAACTAAGCTAAGAAACAAGATTATTTTCTCTTATATTAATTCTTCTTACACACATCAGTGATTAGTTATTGAAAATAAATTATTATCTTTCTTAAATTATTATCATATCTTCTGAATTTACTTCTTTCACTTCTTTTAATTCTATTGAAGATTCATAAACTCTTTAAGAAATCACTGTGAATTACAAAGTCTATATTATTTATAATTCAATACAGAATACTCTCTTTCAATTATAATAAATAATCACTTCATTCTTCATATCTGATTTCAGGTTACAAAATTTATGAAAAACTCAATACAAATATTGAGATGAACTATAGAATAATTATCAACATATTGTATTATAGATTACTGAAGAGTCATCTCTCTGCTATAATCACTGTAACTTTATTCAGAAATATTTATCATGAACTGATCATAGCTCTGAAGAAATTTTCTGACATCTGAAGTCATCAGAATGCAGACAATAAAAGAAAAATAATCAGAAAATTACTACTGAGCTGATAAGTTACTCTATCAGATAATAATTTTTAATAATACTAATTTTCTAATTTGAAGAAAATTATGTGAAAATAATCATATATCAGTACTCTGATTTCACAACTCTTATCTGATAACTTCTGTGAATAATTACTTTGCATGTATATATCTCTGAATCTTTCTCTTTAATCAATTGAAAACTCTGAATTCTGAACACTTCTTCAAATGCTTAATTCAAATCTTCATATTTCATATTGATTCTGTCTTCAGTTCAATCTCAATATATACTACAAAGTCAATATACAATATCTAGAATCAGAGTTGAAGAATCATCAAAGAGTATCTCTCACAGTGAATGTATAAACTAGTATAAACAATCTTATATTTATAAGAGTTATATGTTATTACATTGATGACAACTGAACTTATTAAGAGATATTAATTGAATTTAAATTATTGATTAGTAGTTATACTGAAGATTATATAGCAGAGATATTGATAACTGTGATTAAAAATAATTATTAAGATATTAGTCTCAGTCTTCTTACAATTACAACTGACAATGCTGTGAATAACTACACTATGATGAAGAGTTTGAAGGAAAAATTAACTTTGCATTTCTGAAATAATAAATAAGATTATATTCTCTGTATTACTCATGTGATTTAACTTATGATATAAACACTGATAAAGAATCTTAATATTGAGATGAAGAATAATGAGATAACTGATTCTTGAGATGAGAATGAGATGAAAGTGATTACTCAAGTAACTTTTATATTTTCTTTATAAAAGATAATGTTTTTTAACAATACTTTTTAATATTACTTTTTAATAATGCTTTTTAATAATACTACTATTAATTTTGAATAGATTGACTAATAATTTAAATATCACAGATTCAAAATATTACTAATATAATTTATACCTTCTCTAAATAATAACAATGATTTTATAATATTTAATAAATAAATAAATCAGTCACATCACTGAATATAATACAGAATATTAGAATATAATGAAGTTCAATATATAAGATAGCTGTTCAGACTCTTTGATTGTATCAGATAATTGATCATTGAGTACAATACTCTGATCAGAAAAAGATTCAGATATTAAAACTTTCTGATATAAAGTGAACTCAGTTGAAATATGTGATTGATTTACTGTTTCAGTTTTATAAGATAATGAAGACAGTCTCAATCACTTGTACACTAATGCTGCAGTTAGTCTGATGAGTGTATAACAGTTTATTTACTTATCTTAAGAAGCAGTTAAATCACTTAAAAAGAAATTCAGTCTGAGATAATGCTATAGTGCAGGCTATTATTACTGTAAGAGATAAACTAGCATATTACTACAGCAAAACTGAATAATCTTTTACAGAGTATTATACTGTAGTAACTCTACTAGATCTCTCTTATTAAGTTAATATCTACACTTCTTAAGATTGAACAGAGAAGAAATAAGACTTATATATTAAATTAGTCTGAGACTACTACAATGCTAACTATCAGAGATTTGAACAAGCAGATGTTCAAGATATGAAGACAGTGAAATATAATTCTCTAGTAAGTAACAATCTTTGATAACACTTCATATCACATAGAACTATAATACTGTGATTCAAAGGTTGCTTACCAGCGTACGATTACAGGCGTACACCGGCTTCTTATATATTGTAATATCGTACGCTAAATTAATTAGTGGCTGCTATGCCCCTCTTTACACTTGTAAGCAAGTTCAGAAGCGGCTGTGTTATTATCTGACAGTTGTATGTTCTTCTGAACTACATCCTTCCTCACCAGATTCAGTCACGCTCACATGACTATGACATTCATTCTAGCTTCATGTGAATTAGTACACTACTAGTGTTTGCAATCTTGTAACCTATTCCTGATTCAGCTAGTATTCTGTGTATGCTCTCACAAAGAAACTTTCACTATATTACATCTCTTATTCATCAACTTTTCTCATTCTTCAATCATCTTCTTCATCATCATTATTATTGAATATTATTATCATTCAAGATTTCTACTTCTTCTTCTGTTCAACTCTTTCTATCTGTTCATCTATCACATTGTACATATTTCTGACAATGATTCTCTGTTCTCATAACAAGTATCATTGTAGTGCTCATACTGAGCAGTTTGTTAGCAGTAAGTATAATATATTGTGAAATATGATCAGAACTTGTTTATCTTCTAAATAATTACTAGAATGTATTATCATGAATGACACATCTTCTTCATCTTTCTTATACACTCTCAACTGTTTTTTCTTCTCAGTGAGTTTCTGATTGTGTTTTCTGACATGATTTTACATGGACACAGATGCTGATATGTTTGTTTTTATTCACATAGAATCTTCATATATTGACAAATTCACATCTGCTGATGATAGTGAACTCAATATTGAATCATTAATTGAGAACTTGAAGAATATGATAATAAAGGAATTATCTGTGTTATATATAACTGAGTCTCTCACATTCTCTCTTATCTCTTCTGTTACTTCTTTCTTTGCTGCTTCTCAATCTTCTACACTTATCTCTGTATCTGGTTCTTCTGCTCCTGCTATCTCTGTTCCTGTGATTCTCACTTCTACTACTTCTGGTTTTACTGTCTCTGCTTTTGTTATTAGCTCTCTCTGTTTCAAGAAGATGTTGTATAGACTTAATGAATCATATTTCTCAGTATATACACTTCTACTCTTCTTACTGACTCTCAGAATGATTTATTATATGAAAACTGTATATAACATGACTATCTGAAGCTCAGTCACAGACACTGATTATTATATTTATTTTAAATATTTGTGATAAGATAATCATTCATTCATACTGAAGAATCATCTCTCTTCTCAATAGTATTGAGATTGTAAGTTTTTTTCTTTTTCATCTTTTCTTTCTGATGCTGATTTTTCTGTTCTTAGAGAAAATCATTATAAGTTTTACTGTGTATGAAGTCATGATATTTACAGATATCAAGAAGCTTTTTACAATTATAAAGTTTAACATTGCAGAGATATTCACTCTGATAAATTCCTTCAGAATGATAGATCTGTATCAGTCTATTCTCTGACATCTGTCATTCAACTTCATGATGCAGGTAAAAGATATCTGTGTTTTCAGAAACAGAAACATAGATATTATACTCTTTTACATCTGCAGACATGAGACTTATACATCTTGTCTGAAATATCATTATGAAAATGAGCTGTTCATACACTGTGTTCTGCTTCCTGCATTTTCTCATGTCTCTCTCTCTCTTTCTGAGAAGCCTTGTATATGTTGTAATTATATGTATAACTCTAAGATCAGTGAATGTTTATTCAGTAACTATTCTTATCTCTGATTTTATGATTTTCATACACTAATAATGATTCTTAGTTGCTTCAGTGTCAGAGATCATTCTAATCAAAGATGATAACACTGCTGAGACTATTCTCTTCTGCTCTCAAGCTTCTTCTATCACTTTCTCTCTCTCTTCTATGAAGAAGGTTGTGTACACATCAGATTGTAAGTGTTCAGCTCTGAGTAACTTCTACTGTCATTCATTCAGTTCTGTGTCTTCTTCTTCTTCTGTTTCTTTCATCTCTGTCTTCCCTGTCCTGGCTTCTGGTCCTGCAGGTCTCATGCTCTTCTTCAATTTCTCTATGTATATGCATGCACATTTCTATATTAACATTTCAGCCAATCTCACAATAAATGATATTAATGTCATATACAGAGTAGTAGAGAAATTGAAGATGTGTATGATATTATTATGAGAGCAGCTTGCAGTCCTTGAATTTCTTACAGATCTCAAGTTTTGAGATTTTCTTTATTTTTGACATTTTTTGAGTGGTATGACATTGGAAATAGATTTAAATATATGATGTATGAAAATAAATAAGATATGTATAATAACATTTGTCTTTTACAGTTAATTCTTACAGTTGATAATCAATTCATTATCTCTTTTCTTACACTTTTTCTTTATCTGCTAGTCACTACTCTTACATGACCTCTATATAATACAGTGTTCAGTGACTAGATTCAGTAGCTTTCATCTTTTGTAATTCTGTCTCATGTATTATACTGTCTCTCTTCACTCACTCAGACTACTATGGTGA